AGAGAGAGAGAGAGAGAGAGAGAGAGAGAGAGACAGAGAGAGACTGAGAAATAAAGAAAGAGAGAGAAACCGAGAAATACAGAAGAAACAGAGAGAGAGAGAGAGAAGAGAGAAACCGAGAAATAGAGAGAAACAGAGAGGCGAGGAGAAGGAGAGAAAAGAGAAAACAAGAAATAGAGAAACAGAGAGAGAGAGAGAGAGAGAGAGAGAGAGGGAGGCAGAGAGAGAGAAGAGAGAAACCAAGAAATAAAGACAGAAACAGAGAGAGAGAAACAGGAGAGAGAGAAACCCAGAAATAGACAGACAGAAAGAAAACAGTGACAGAGAAAAATAGAGAAACAGAAGGAGAGAAACAGCGAGACAGAAAGAAACAGACACAGAAACAGGGAGAAATAAAGGCAGAAACAGGAGAGTGGGAAGAGAGAAACAAAGACAAAGAGAGAGAAAGAGAGGGAGAGCAAGAGACACAGAGGAAGAGACAGAGACAGAGACCGAGGGAGAGAGGCTCGCCAAGGGATGGGCTGTGCGGTGGTCCTTTTAGGGCTGTGTCCCAGGCCCTCGGAGAAATAGCGAGGCAAAGAAAGCAGGAAAGTTTTGGGTATTGGCCAGGCTCCGGAGCAGAGCGTCAAGGGAAAACGCTCAGGTTACTAGATCCAGCCCATACCTTTGCGCAGAGCCCTGACCTGGCCCATCCTACTCCGCGGTGGGTGAACGCGGCCCGGGTCCAGGCCCTCGCAGTGTTAGTCCTCAGTCTGTCCTAGCGTTGGAGGTAGGAGGAAGAGGAACTGAAAAGCCAGTGATTCCCATTGAGCTGCATCCCCTCTGCTCCGCCCCAGTGAAGCCCTCTAGGGTTGGAGGGAGTGTGTGTGTGTGTGTGTGTGTGTGTGTGTGTGTGTGTGTTAGTGTGCGCGCGCACGCATCACCTTATATTTTAGACTGTCACCTGTAGGAGAGAGGAATGGGAAAACACGTTCCCCCGTAGTTAAAAGCAGAGATGTTTCATTACCTGTATTTTTCAAGTCTAGACCAGCACACAATAAAAATATAATGCAACCCGTATAGATACTTTAAAATTTTCCACTGCTCAAATTTAAAAAAGCAGTTAAGTTGCATTCTAAAAGTAGGAAGAAACTGGTGAAATTGTATGTACTTCACTTAATTCTAATGTATCCCAAGTATTAATCAATATAAATACTATTTGCATTTTTTCAAACTAAGTCTTCAAGGATCAGAGTGTAACTTACACTTCTTGCACATCTCAGCTTACACTAGTCACATTTCAGTTGCCCTATAAACACAGCTTGGGGCTAGTGTGCAGTGCTAGTGTACATTGGAGTTCATCCCAGAATTGAACTCAGGACCTTGTGCTTGCCAGGTAGGTGCTTGTGCCACTGAGCTATATCTCCAGCCCTGCCACCTTAGTTGCTATTACTACTTTTGAATGTAGATAGACACACAGAAAATGAGAAATGATTACTGAAACCAACCTTGATGCTTCTCAGCGTTTTGCCTTTTACTCCTCATATTCAGTTATTCAGAACTTTCACTGAGCATCTACTATATACCAGGCTCTTACCACTCAAATTGTCCCCAAGCCCTAGAAGGTTAAATAAATGCACTCATGTCACATTTATTTTTGATTCTCATTTGACTAAAATCTGTCACCCAGGGCCAGCAGCAGTCACTTGTAAAGCCAGCACCTATAGCCAGACCCTGCACACTGCCCAGAGTATAAGAAAAAAACATCAAATGAATTTCCTTCCCTTCAGCATCGGAAAGGTCCGATGGCACTTCTGCTTATGGTTTCAGCTGAAGAATTACTCATTTAAAGAGAGAAAAGGCAAGCTTTGCAGGGAACTAATAATTAAACAGTCCCTGTTTCATGTCAGCCTCAGCTGAAAACTGTCATCCAAGCTGAGACTTAGTTTCCCGAAAAGATAACCCGATTGATGATCAAAGGAAGAGACTGTTTCCATTAGCCAAGTTGCCTATACTATGGCCTTCAGAATAAAGGGAGAAATGTATTTTAGAAGGATCTGAGTAACGCACTTTACTCATAACATTTTGTATTATATTGCTTGTTGTCTGTTGCAGCTTCCCTCCTGAGTACTTTATTTTAAGCACTACCAAAGTGGATGACATGTCTACAAAAAGAAACAAGAGTTGCTGGCTGCTCCGAGAAATGCATCTTCAAAAATAAGGCTTTTGCACTGTAAATTAGGAGATGAACCCACACGAGAACACATTCAAAGAAGGGATACTCAAATCACAGCATCTCTAATAC